ACAGAAAAAGTGTGTCAACCCCTGCTCTAGGTGATAAAACCGAGGCTGGGCGTGTCAAGTGTCTAGTGTAAAATTTCACAGAATCACAATTCAAACCGAGGCTTTCTATCTCTAGATACCCTTTGGGTATGGTTTTCCCTATGTTTTTGCCCCTCAAAATAATAATTTTTACTTACACAGTGCTTATTGTCTTCCTGGCATTGTTGATCTTTTAATAATCAAAACAGCCTATGACATATATACCATACTTGGGGAAACTGAGGCACAGATTAGTTAAGCAACTTTAGTAAGTCCCATACCAGCAAGAGATGGAGCCAGGCTGTCCGCTATACACCGTTCTGTCTCTTGCAATGAGGGAGACACAAGGCAACAGAAGGACCCATTGAGAGGTTTAATAGTTCTCATCTATTCACCCCTCTCTTGAGCTTAGTGATATAAAGCTGATCGTTCTGCTATCTTAAGCCTGAATTCTCCCCCGCACAAAATACAGTGGACCCTTGAACAACACAAGTTTGAATGTGCAGGTTCACTTAGATGCAGATTTTTTTTTTTTTGGATACAGTACAGTACTGTATTTCTTCTTCCTTACAATTTTCTTAACATTTTCTTTTCCCTAGTTTACTTCATTGTCCAAGAATAGAGTATATAATACATAAAACATACAAAATATGTGTTACTCAACTATTTATGTTAACAGTAAGGCTTCTGGGCATCAGTAGGTTATTAATAGTTAAGTTTTTGGGGAATCAAAAGCTACATGTGGATGGTTGACTGTCACCCAGGGAGTTGGTGCCCCTAAACCCCCATGGAGTTCAAGGGTCGGTTAGTCCATGACAGTGAAATAATCAGTCTTCCCTTAGAACCGTGGGTCAGGAATGTCTTATAAACCATTCCCTAAACACCATGCATGGGCATTAGTATTTCTTATTTAAATTTACAAAACCCTGAGCCCATTCCAGCCCTACTGAGTCACTGCCATGGCAGAGCCTGGGAATAGGTATTTTTCAAAGGCATGAGCCCAGTGATGAGGTAAGTAGCCTGGAGCATACTGAATCTTCTTCAAATGAGGGGCACCTGGCAGGCTCAGTCGGAAGAGCATGCAACTCTTGATCTCATGGTTGTGAGTTTGAGCCCCATGTTGGGTGTAAAGATTACTATAAATAAGTAAGTTAAGTAAGTAAGTAAGTAAAAGTAAGTAAGTAAGTAAATCTTCCTCAAATGCTGATTGAATTGTATTGAGACATTCAGACCACATTAGTTGTAACAGTGACCTGTCCCATGAGCCTCTGTGCATATTACGGACCACCATTCAGAAGCAGGTCTAGATTTCATTATTTGAAAAGCTCCCTGAATACTATTATAGCTAACTTCTCACCTAATAAGGAAATACATTTATTACTGAAGGGAAGAAAATAAAAATTATACATGTTGCTTTTACCCAGAGACATACTGTTAATTTGTTACTATTTTGATGTATACTCACAATCCTTTTTGATTGAATTAGTACAATTCTATTGAATTTTTAAAATACCATGTGTTATTTTGGGTTACAGTTGTGGGAAGGGATTTCACTTGGGTTTCAGATTTGTTACTCTCTTGGAAGTGTTTAGATAAAGAGCCAAGAAATACACTGTTGCTCCTATGGGAACAGAAGAGCTAGTGAATATTAATTACTGTTTAAAACCTTGAATTTATATGATGAGACTTGGACGGAGCACATTTAGATTATTTGGATGTATTCTTTTTTTCCTTTCTGGTTGCTGTCAAATTATCCTTTAATGAAATCTTTCTCTTTACAGCTCTTTGCCAACGGGGCATCCACCACATCACTGCTGATGTCATCTTTGATGTTATGAGGAGGGAGCCATTGACACTGAAGCCCACAAATTGGGCAGTCCCCAGGATTGCTTTAATCGATGCTGGGGAATTCTCTGCAGAAAGATCTATGTTGCAACTGTCAGGTGCTTCTGACAATAAAATAAAGAACAATAGTTCTATTGTATTTAATGTGTAACTTTCCCTTTCTATCTCTGGGTTGTTCCTCCAGAGTTTTGATGATTGGGGCAGAGGAGGAAGGTGCTACCTCATTTCGGGTCTTTCCATTCTGAAGGGTCAGCTTCACTGGAGTCCAGATGCTTCACTGGAGTCCAGACATCAATATAATACTGATGTCACCACCAGCATTTCTCAAGGTGCACTGAGGGGTTGATTTGGGTGCGAGTGCAGTTGTGGTATCCACTTCACCATCAGCATAGATAAGATGCACAACTTTGATTTCCTTGGAGAGTCATGATAAATATGGCTGGGGTCAGATGAACCTGGATGCCAGACCACTGAAGCAAGTTATACTTTTGTCTCCTCCAAGCCAAAAGTTAAAAGTCAGTCATCATTAATGAAACAATTCAGTTGGATATTTCATACAGAGTGCATCCTGGTATGGTGGAAATAGCATGAACCAAAAATTAGAAAACCTGGATCCTATCTGGGTTTCTTTATTCCATCTGATCATTTACCCTTAAGCTTGTTTCTTCTACTGTCTGAGTCTCAGTTTGCTCATCTGTCGGATAGGGATGACAATATTGACCCTGATTATGTTATAGGATTACAGGGAAGATGACAATGAGATAGTGAATAAGACTCTTTTGATGAAGTATAATGCATTATGTAAGGTGATGTTATTAACCATAAAATAACATCAAAACAGTAATAATGATTTCTGAAAAGATTTGCAGTTAGAAATGCAAATAGGTTTATATGTGAATGCTCTAATTATCTGAATCTGTGCAGCTTATTGCTGTGGATATCATAACAAATTAGCCTTTTTTTTTTTTTTTTTTAAGTAGGCTTCATGCCCAGCATGGAGCCTGATGCAGGGCTTGAACTCACGACCCTGAGATCAAGACCTGAGCTGAGATCAACTGACTGAGCCACCCAGGTGCCCCCAAATTTAGTCTTTTATTCATTAGATCAAGACAAACTGCTAAGACTTTTTACTTATTTATTAAACTTTTTTTTTGAGCTGTTTTAGGTTTACAGGAAAGAATGAATGAAAAGCAGGTTTCCCTTATGCCCTCCCAATGCTTCTTCCCACTTATTTCCCCTAGTATTCACATCTGGCGTTAGTGTGGTGCATTTGTTACAACTGATGAGCCAGTGTAGATACATTATTATTAACTAAAGTCCACAATTTGGGTTAGGGTTCACTCTTGGTATTGTACATTTTGTGGGTTTTGACAAATGTATAAGACAGGTATTCACCGTTATAGTATCATCCAGAATAGTTTCACTGCCTTAAAAGTCCCATCTGTTTTGTTTTTTTTTTTAAGATTTTATTTATTTATTTGACAGAGAGAGACAGCGAGAGCAGGAACGCAAGCAGGGGGAGTGGGAGAGAAAGAAGCAGGCTTCCCGCCGATCAGGGAGCCCGATGCGGGGCTCGATCCCAGGACCCTGGGATCATGACCCGAGCCGAAGGCAGACGCTTAACGACTGAGCCACCCAGGCGCCCAAAAGTCCCATTTGTTGAACCCTCTCTGCCTCTCCCTTGAAGATCTGGCAACTACTCATCTTTTTACTGTCTTCTTAATTTTAATTAAATTTTGCCTTTCCCTTAATTTTGCATAGTTGGAATCATGTAGTCCTTAGCCTTTTCACATTGGTTTCTTTCACTTAATAATATACACTTAAGTTTCCTCCATGTATTTTTGTGGCTTGAGCGCTCGTTTCTTTTTATCACTGAATTAGATTCCACTATCTGGATGGACCACAGTTGGTTTATCTGTTCACCTTCCAAGGACATCTTGTTTGCCTTCGGGTTTTGGCAATTACGAAGAAAGTGGCTATAAACATCCGGGTGTGGGTTTTTGTGTGGACAGTAGTTTTCAACTCCTTTGGGTAGATACCAAGGAGCGGAACTGATGGAGCATAATAGGGTAAGAGTTCTCTTAGTCTTGTGAGAAACTACCAAATTGTCTTCCAAGGTGTCTGTGCCATTATGCGTCCTCATCAGTCTTGGGTGCTGTCAGTGTTTTGGTTTTGACCATTCTAATATGTGTGTAGTGGTCACTCATTGTTTGTAACTCTCGAATAACCTATGGTGTTCAGCAGCTTCTTATATGGTTATTTGCCATCGTACATCTTTGCTGAGGTATCTGTTCAGATCTTTTGCCCATTTTTAAAAAACTGGGTTGTTTGTTTTCCTACCGCTTAAAGAGTTCTTTTTATATTTTGGAGACTAGCTCTTTATCTGGTACTTAGTTTGCAAAGACTACTCTTCTCAGCTATGGCTTGTCTTTGCATTCTCTTAATACTTGTTTATCTTTAATTATTTGACCGCAACATCATCATCCAACTCTTTTAAAGTACTAAAGTACCTGCAGGCTTATAGCTGTTAAAGAGGATGAACAAATCGAATGCTCCATTCCTTTTCACCATTGACTGGTTTTGTAGTCGGGTGCGTTTGTAGATGGGATCAAGTCATCAAGCCCATCAGCCGCTCCATCTCAGACCTCACGTTCTGAACCGGGATCCTTGCTGCTATCATCTGAGAGTCAGCCTGCGGTCTGTCGGAGTTGGCCGGCTCTTGCTGAGCTGATTGGAGCTGCCGACATTTTTGCTGACTGGAGTCATGCTGTCTTTGCCAGTTTGCTGGAATAGACACAGACACCGATTGGGTCACGCTGAAGACATTCCTGTCTTGTGAAGCAAGTCTGTTTGTATTTTAGGTTTGCCAGGACTAATGAATTAAAACATTTGGACTCTCCACAACTTGCTGTTTATCAATGCCTCTGACAGGAGGAGGGTTTTCTTTTGCACTTGCTTTTTCTAGAAGCATGACAACATCCTGGCTGGTGGAGAGGCAAGGAAAGGAGAGAGGGGTTGCGGAGGGAAGCGGAACAGGGAGGCCCGTGGGACGCAGGGGTCTGGGGGAGAGCAGGTAGCAGGGGACTGCCCTGACAGCTGTCATTGCCCCTCAGACTGTCACTAGCTGCTATGCAGCAGGTGGAGCCTGCTCTCTTACTAGGTCTTCGCTCCACAAAGGCAACGACTGGCCAAGGCAGTGGTTGGCCCTGGATTACACAAGTGCAGACACTCAACTAAGTGAGGTAAGGCAGCAGGTGTGAAAACCGAACTAAACGCTCGGGGCACCAGCAACTTAACTGAAGCTCTGTTAACAGCGGAGAGGAGGACAGCAGTGGTCCATTCCCACAGGCGGTGTGATGAAAAGGCAAGCTGGTTTAGGAGCTCTCCTGGCCAACACCGTGTGGAACTCAAAATCCAGCCCCCTTGGCTGCTGTCATCCTTTCCGAGGCAGGCAGATGTTCTCCGTTGTGTGGAGGGGAGGGGCTCTAATGAGCTGTGTTTACCAGTTTCATTTCCCCGGGCGCTGGAAACCTCGAGGCAAATTTCCACCTCTCGTGCTTTATTTCTTGGTGCAGGAAAGCATTGGGAAATTTAGCCAAAAGAGGAGCACTTTTCATCCTGTTAGGATGTTAGGATAAAATGGGTCGGTGATGGGACAGTGCATAACAATCAGACTTTTTCTCTTAGCTACAACTTTAAGGGTTTTTTTTTACTGTTTGTTTTGTTAAATTTGAGACAGTCTGTTCTATTCCCTAGGAACAGGTGGCTAACAAGATGGTTGATTCTAAGCAGAGGAGACTACACAGAAATGTATGTCAGAGCTAAGATAAAACATATCCTGAGTCAAGTAACAGCAATTTTGTATTACCCTTTTCTTACGTTGAATGTTTCATGTTATTACTTTTTTTTTAACTTAGAAGGACATGACTCGGAGTGCTTTATGGTTCATTGCTATTTGTGGTTTTGAATGAATGGGCCAAATATGATTCTAACTGGGTGATAAACAGCTGCTGGTTTTTCTCCAAAGCTATACTAGGTGTTTAATATAATCCTGTTCTCTTTCCATATACTGGGTAGGATGATTCCATATGTATGTATGTCTAAATATATGTGTGTGTGTGTGTGTGTGTGTGTGTGTATGTATGCATTTGAGTTTGCTCTATAAATAAGTGTAAAAACAAAATTCAGTGTTCTGGACACTATTTTTAGATACAAAAAAGTTATGGGAAAGAGTTGGAAACCTTGCTCTGAGAAAATGTCCTGATAAACAGTTCCCAGAATCTTGCTGAGGATGGTTAAAGAGATGATTTATATTTTGCCATTTTTAGAGATGTTTTCCTAAAAATATCACTCAGAGTTTTTGGTTTACTGTCTACATGAGAAGGAAAGTAGAGAGTTTAGGGAAGCATGATTAAAAATAGAAAAGTTGCACATATGTATTTAAATAATGAAGATATCATGTATTTATAACAATCTCTTTTCCTTAGTCCCATTGTACAAAAGTTATCAAATATCTTGGTTAAAATGTATTTGGGCTAAATTCTATTATTATAACAAGGAAATATGCATGTATTTTTGCCCATCCCAACTCATCTATAGGATGTTTTTCCATTCATTCGATCTTAGTTTATTAATGATAATTTCACAGGTACAGTAGAACATCAATAGCATGTTTTTAAGTTCTGTCTTTTGCTTGTATCATACATTGTTAAGATGTACAACCTGATATGTGTTTGATAGATTCACAGGTAGTTAAATAGATATTTAAAGCACATAATATTCATACTATAACTGTGGGATATTTTAAAATAGACTTTGGTATTCTTGAAGTGGTCCTTGATACATTCTTTATCACCCATTCTTTACCACTCAATAATTCAGATCAATAATTCAGGTCCAATTTAGGCTTTTGAGTGTGACTAATTTAATATGAAGCCATCTGATGCCCTATTAGGATTTCTTTATCCTCCTCAATTAAAAATAAAACACTATATAAGACCTGGAAGGGCCAGGGTTGGACTAGTGTGTGTGAAGGGATACTAAAAAAGTGAGGTGGGTGGAGATTTTGCTCTATCTTGTATATTTCATTCTAGATATGTATTTCCAAGACAGGTTTTTTTTTTTTTTTTATAAGCCAGAAAAAGAATTTTAAATGGGGCAGGTGAATACTTTCCATGTAGGGAAAGAAAGCTAGGAACTGGGAGTATCTTCAAAATAAGAAAGTAATGCTTACTAACTTTCCCTCCAATTTCCAAGATCCTCTGAATATTTGAGGGATGACTTGGATAAGTGACAATGGCTCTCTCTTGTCCTTACAGCTGGAAGACCCAGGGGAAGGCCAAAGCTCAGGTGCCCACATGATCAGCACAGCCAGGGTACCTGCGGATAAGCCAGTACGCATTGCCTTCAGCCTCGATAATGCCTCAGGTACGCTCTGCATGCAGGGAGAGGGCCACCTCCCTGCCCGTCACTGCTTTGTGGTCATCTTTTCCTGTTCCACAAAGGGTGTTTAAAAATGCATGCCTGGGGATGCCTGGGTGGCTCAGTCGGTAAAGCATCTGCCTTCAGCTCAGGTCATGATCCCGGGGTCCTGGGATCAAGCCCCTCATCGGGCTCCCTGCTCCGCGGGAAGCCTGCTTCTCCCTCTCCCTCTGCTGCTCCCCCTGCTTGTGCTCCCTCTCTCTGGCAAATGAAAAAAAAAATCTTTAACAAAAAGAAAAAATGCATGCCTGGCATGATCTAATGATGGGGCGTGTGATTTTTTTCATCAAGCATCGTTGGAGTGTGGCTTCCAGAAATGCCTCTGGTGATGCCGCCCCAGCCTCCTATCCTCTGGGTGCTTTAGCACATTTCTCCTTCCTTTTTACTTTCCCCATTTAACTTTCTTTATTATAAAATTCCCAGGGCTATAACAATTTCTAACGATTCCAACGTATGTCATCATTGAAACTGTGTGAGGAGACGTTTATTAAAGCCCTGGCAGTTGGTTAGTGATGTAAAAATATCACTGTCCCGGTTCCAGCAGCAATATTTGGAGCCCAAGTTCCAAAGCCTGGTTTCTCACTGGTGCTTCCACAATTCAGGCCGAACAAACAGACTGCAGCCAGAGTGATGAATGGGACAGGTGAGGCAGACCCTTTTGAAATAGTAAGGTCTGAGGTGAGGCTGCCGTACTTGGAGCCCTTTGTTATGACTCCCTTCAGTGACCTCTTAACACACATATTGAATTACACCACCTATGACGGGGACCCCAGGTGGTGTGAGGTCACAGACGTGAGAAGGGAACCCTTGGATCTCTGTCACTGGCATCAGCCTTGGCTCTCAGTCTGTCATCTGTTAAAATCCACAATCACACACTCAAACAACACTACTGTTTCAATCTTGGGTCTTTTGAGGGCTGATTCTGTTTACCTATCAATCAATCACTCACCTACTCAGTCGTCTATTTTTCTTCCTACACTGCACATGTAGGGGTAATATTTTAAGAAGTAATAATTGAAAAGAAGCAAGTTTATCCCTAAAATAATGCAAAGTAAGCATCTGGGCTCTGTGAAGTCTGACATTATACAGCCAATTCAGGCTTTACTTATACCAAGTGATTCTGGTGGTAGCCCATCTGCCCCCATTTTCCTGGATTGTTCAGCCCCCAGTGGAGGATTTGTTCGAGAGTAAGAAGAGGTGAAGCCTTGACTCTTCATTGTCTGTTCTTTCAACCCTCTTCTCATGGCCTGCTGTTGTCCTGGTATCTCCACTCAGGTTGCCTTGAAACACAGTGGTGAAGGGAAATCCTCCCAAAAGGCAAACCAATCCATCCCAACAAAGAAATGATGACTAACATTAATTGCATTTCTCTATTGTATTAGGCATTCATATGTATTATTGCATATCTCTAAAATAACCATGCAATGTAGGGGCGCCTGACTGGCTCAGTTGACAGAGCATGTGACTCTTGATCTTGGGGTCCTGAGTTCAAGCCCCACACTGGGTGGAGAGATTACTTAAATAACTAAGTAAATATTAAAAAAAATAACCATGCAATGTAGACATTAGTATTACCAATTTGCAGACACAGAGCTTGAGGTCCAAAGACCATGCTGTAAGTAGGTTAACAGAGTTATGATTTAAATGCAGGTCTCTAGACTTATGAATCTGAACTCTATTATTCTATATCACTACTCTAAAAAGAAAAAGAAAAGCCCCTCCTGCTTTTATGCGTTTCATAAATGTAAGATTTTAGGAATAGTTCATGCTTGAGTGGCTAGCTTTCAAGACAGATACATGTAAGCTCCCAAATCTGGGAGAAGGAAGTATAATTTACTTCCTTGTGATCATGTCCACATGAGCAGAACAAGTCTTGTTACGATCAGCAGTCTTACAAAGACAATTTCAGTATATAAAGCTTATTTATTCCAAGCAATATTATTATATCGTAATTTTGGACGAGACAAATAAATGTACCGTTTCCTCATCTTTATTTATTAATTTATTAAGATTTTATTTATTTTTGGGAGAGAGAGAGAGAATACACATGAGCAGGGGGAGGGGCAGAGGGAAAAGCAGACTCCCTACTGAGCCGGGCGCCTGATGTGGGATTTGATCCCAGGACCCTGGGATCATGACCTGAGCCAAAGACAGACACTTAACTGTCTGAGCCACCCAGGCACCCTCCTTGTCTTTATTTTAACAAAATTTAATTTATGTACAGAAAAGAGCATGGAGAGGTGAATCTTGATCTTTGGGCTGCATAAATATATTCTTCCTTGAAATACAAAATATACAATTTGTCATTAATTTGCCATCATCCTTTGAAGGCTATCAGCCCCTGACTAGGAGCTCTTATATGTTTTTTTAATCAGTCAGTTTAGATTGATTCGTTCCAGTCTTTCAAATGTCCCAAGAATGCCCACTTTTGAAATTCATGTTTTTTAATACGGTAGCTTCAAAAAGGGGTTGTCATTTATTTCAAGTAATTCATACTCTCTAGTTCCACAAAAAGATGCTTGGGAAGATTTATAAAGAAACTGCTAAAATTAAAAAAGAACTTTTTCCTATGATCTATGTGTCCTCATATCTCTAAAAAGGCATCTAACTAGAGAATCCAAGGCAGGAGTGGGTTTCTGCGTTTCTCAACCTTTCTTAAAATAATGACCTGAGAGCGCTCACCAAAAATACATGTTCCAAGGCCCTACTCCTGTATATTCTGGGGCAGTAGGGACAGATGGAGGTCCAGCAATCTGTATTTCTGCATGCATATGAAGTTGTGAGTGCACAGAAAGAGGCTTTGCAGATATTTGGAGACACTCCCTCTGAATTCTTGACTATGGAGCCTGTGGAGTGTCATGGAGAACAACACTTGCCATCACGCACGCTGTGCATGCCTTTTGAATTCCAGTGCATTCTAGACCACACATTTAGGGGGAAAACAAAGGCAAGCATCCTAGATTTCCATAGTAAATGGGGAAACTAAGATGGAATTTTGGGAAGTAATTCCATAGTTATGGATTTATCGTTGAGGGGTAAGCAGAGTCCATGAGAAAAGAGTGCTCATTCCTTTCGTTATATTAGGCTTTTTTTTTTTTGCATATTTTTCTGAGATGATTTCATGTAGAGGTTAAGGACATAGGGCTTTGGAGTCCTCAAGACATGGTTTCTAGACCCATCTCCATCACTATTTGTGTGATCTTGGGTAAGTCACTCAATTTTGCTGAACTTCAGTTTCCCACAAGGTGTATATAGTGATAATTCACACAGTGGTTGTAAGAATTAAAGAAGACTATATAGGTAAAGCATTTAGCATAGTGCTTGACACAAATTAAGGACTCGACTGGTCCTTGTACCTATGATAATTGATTCTGGAGTATTAAGGAAAATATAAGCGTCTTAAGCAGTTTTATGTCTCACCTATATCTCCCACATCTACTTAATGTCAAGATAGAGTTTATAGTATAACTGGCCTGAGATTATTTAAAGACTGGTTTTGCAATTGGAGGATTTGGGGTACCCCTGCCTCTCCTCTTATCAATTAGCTGAACTTAGTTTCTATGCTTTAGTGCTCTCCCAAAGGTGGGTGAGTTGTGCAAATACGAAGTATGGCATGATCCCTCCTGTGGGTTTCATAAGGCAAAGGGAATTGAGGAAAAATCTGTGTCACCCAGAGCAGATGGGAACATCTTCCTGGGAAATGTGATAGTCAACCTGCTCTTGAAGACAGGTGGGGTATTGACGGGCAGTGTAGGAAAGGTGCCATCTCTGGGTACCAGGTACCAAAAATGGGGGCTATACAACTTTTAACCATTCTTCCTTTTCCTTTCAAACAAAAAGACTGAGCAAAACCTAAGAGTCAGGAAGAGCATGATATATTCATCAAATAGTAAAATTCTTGTCAACTGGAGCAGAGGTTTGAATGGTGGAAGAGTGGCATGTCATTTAATGAACCATACTTTGAGGTTTACCTTGAATATCTGTATATATAGCCATTAACTAGAGTTAACAATATAATCCTAAAAGTTCAACAACAGGGTTGGATTTGATCAGAAACAATCGAGTGTCAAAAGTTCTTGAGCAAGGGAATGATAGGATGAAAATGGTAAATGTTCGATTGGTAGAACAGTCTGGAATGTGTAGAGATGAGAGAATGGAAGAGGCTTTTTATAATGGTACAGAGACAGAGTACTGAGTGCCTGGATCAGATGATGGAATGGGATGACTGAATTCAGAGTACATTATGAAGGGAGGGTTGAAAGGACTTGGTGACAGACTGGCTCTGGATGGGGAGCTGATCATGACTTATTGATGGCAGAATGTGCCACAAGACTCCAAATAGACGGTGGACCTCCAGGGGCTTAAATACAGGAAGCAAATTTTTAGGGGGGGAGAAAAAGCCCTTTAAAATATAATCACCACTTCTAGCCTATCATCAGAAGCCTTCATTAAGTAACACTTAGCTAACCACAGTTCCTGGAGGCAGCAATGGCTATTTTTAACAAACTAATGATATGATTGACATTACTTCTAAACTGGGAATTCCAAAGAGTTAACTTTCTAAATTGGGACATTCATGGAGTTAGTTTTCCCAATAGAAAATATGCAGAAGAGAAACATGAATCCCATCTCTTGGGTTATTAGAGAATCACTGGCTCTTCTCCAGCTGGAGAGAATTTAGAGTTGGACTGACATGAGGATTTCATGTTCATTACTTGAGCGTTTTCTTTATTTCAGTCAAGCTATAAAATCTGCTACACTCAAGTGTGAATTTAGACCTTGGCTGTGGGGTTCTTTTGGTGGTTGTTGTTGTTAAGCTTTTAGGGTTTTTTTTAAGAAGGAGTCAAGGATACTAGTATCAGCCCAAGTCAGTAGCTTTCAACATTTTGTTTTTAAAAGATTCTTTCAAGCTATTAGAATTTTTCATATCTGGACTTGAATTAATC